ACTTTTGCCCTGTGGTCATATCCAAAAACATTACTGAATTCAAAATAAAAAAACACATACGTTTCATAGTTTTTCCGAAAAAAAAAAAAAAAAAAAAAAAAAAAATAGCGGCCTGAGCCGTGGTGGCCGTGATCACTGCTGCCTCCGAGTTTGACCCCGCGGCGGCCGCCGCGGGTGATACATAGCGTGAATGAAATTCAGACACGAAACTCTTGGATGGGCAAGGCGGGATGGACAGAAGACCGACAGAACTGCAAGCTCAGACCAAGAAATGGTCCACAAAAAGGGGAGTGGGAAAGTCGAAAATGAAAAGAACAAGTACGTTCTTGTCTTCAGTGACAAAAAGCAACACCGCCGCTGGGAAGTGCGAACTGGCAGATCCCAAGAGCATATAGAGCACATAGGAACTGACAACGTGAAAGAAAGCTCAGTGGCCTTATCCACATCTCATTTCTCGAATTTCATAACAGTGACATTATGCTATACCACTAAGTCGTGGGCGAATCCTATACTTTTACGCGAGGTCCAGATTCGTCTAAAACAACACTTCCGCAGCTCAAACAACAATGTCGTAAACCGAGTGGTAGGCATCAAATCACGACCGCAGACACGGCAAGGAGGGATACACAGAAAGAGAGATGCTCCGCCTTAACGCGGGTGCGCGCGCGCGCACTCACACACACACACACACACAGAGACACACACAGAGACACACACACAGAGAGAGAGAGAGAGAGAGAGAGAGAGAGAGAGAGAGAGAGAGAGAGAGAGAGAGAGAGAGAGAGAGAGAGAAATAAAGAGAGAGAGGCCTTGGCTAGTCCGTCTGGGTTCTACCGTCGTGACTCCCGGACCAGCGATGGAAATTCCTTCAAATCAGCAGAAATTCGAGTACTCGACTGCCTCCACCAGCTACGCCTACGACTACCAGTAACTGACCTATACAAAGTTATGAGTACAAGTCGAGCGTTTTGCAAAGATATAGAATCTACACCGACGGTCGCACCCCAGGACATGCACAGGAAGACTCGCTACGAAAAGTGTTCCACCCGTGAACATGTAGCCTAGTTTGGTCGCGTGCTACGTGCTGAGGCGACAAGGTGGCAATGGCCTGGGGTTTAGCAGGACTCCCAGGCGAGGGCGAAGACTTGCGTGAGCCGGAGATCCTGAGAGTCCATGGTCAGGAGGCCGCTTGCCGGTGGGTTCCCAGGATTCACTCGCACTTCGGAAACGAGGTTGAGGTTCCTGACGGTGTTGCACTCGCTGTAGACGGCTGCAGCGAAACTGTCCGTGAACTCGAAGTTGTCATCGAACGAGCCGGTGATGACGCGCTTAGCTCGTGTCGTCCCGCTTACCCCGGAGATATGGTAACTGGTCTGCACGATGCCGGTCACGCCAGCATCCAGCTTGGCGTACCCGCGCATGGTGACGTCCACGAGGTGGAAGCGGAAACCTAGCGGATAACTCAGCACGGCCGTCACGGTGCACGCCTTCCTCAGACCGGAACTGCCAGCGTCTGTCGAGGCTGTGTACTGGCTGAACATGACGGTGAGCGCTTGCCCGTCATCGGACACTGCGCCCTCGGCGGAACCAGGTGGGCAGCCGTCGCCGGCGTAACTGAAAGTCTCGATCTTGACCGTACCAGGATCCGGGGACGCAGCTTGTCCGTGGATGGCGGACTGCATTAAGGCAAGTAGCAGCAGCGGCGCCATAGCCGCCGTGGACGAGACTGATCGGGACGCTCTTCTCGCCATCGGGATCAGCGTCCACGTCCTCCCAACAGTGCCAAGGTGGTCGGGAACAAAAGCCAACACTGTCTCCCTGCCCCGCCTGTACCGCCTTTCCCACCTTTACCTCTTTCGACCTACGTGCCCTCCCTCGAGCACTCCTCCGAGGCAGACGTGAAGTCCTCGATTCGAAGTTCAACAGCCGCTTCTACAACTTCCTCCACATCAACTGATCGCTCCTGCACTGCCTTCGCTGCGGGATGGCGTGCAAGTGTAGACGTGCTCTCTCTCCTCCCTTCTCTCTCCTCCCTTCTCTCTCCTCCCTTCTCCGCCAAGGTGCCGAAGCAATAGACCGCTTCCGGCCCGTCCTATCTCTCAGCTGCTCGCGCTTGTGGGGAAAAAGAGTCCGCGCCCGAAATATATGGATCACTTCCGGACTGTTGAACGACGAAAAGAAAAAAAAGCGAGAGGCACTGGAGGGCAAGAGTGCAAGAGAGCAACAGCAGAGACTTACTGCACTCCCTGACTGATGGCCAAGGCTGTGTATTGGGGGATCTTACCAGCCAAGCACGTCGAAAAGGGGTGTCGACGGTGTTCCTTGTTCCGCTTCTACCTGTCAAATTCGATTTGTATTGTATGTGCCAACGGAACAAGTGGTTCGAGCCACCCTTTCGTAACTGAAAGTTGAATTTTGAGGGGGGGGGGGGGGGGGGGGGGGGGGGGGGGGGGGGGGGGGGGGGGGGGGGGGGGGGGGGAGTGAAACCCACCTCTTTGTCTCTACTCCTGGCAATTCGTGATGAACCACCGTGGCACTGATTGCTGGCCTTTTTACGCCCTCCGTCTGGCGGTTATGCTTCCCCACCCTGTCTCCCTAAATGTTGTCGTCCTGGATGCGACAAGTGGCACCCACTTGGTTCGCCAGCTAAAATTCCATACATGTCATTCACGTCCCACCCGGCGATGACAGACGTCGGGTGTCACGTCCACACGTGGATGAACCATCACTCGGACGCGCCGACAGGTAAAAGTCCATAGTGTGAGTATGGGCTTCGCTCCACGACTCTCGACACGTCCACAAAAAGAGAAAAGTCATGGCAGTGTATCCTTCCATGTTGTAGCGGAAGATTCTCGCTCTCCTTCTGCGCGGTCTAGAGTAGTGGAGCGAGCCCTTATCCCGTCAGCAATTTCTTTTTTTTTTTCAATTTCTTGCCGTCAGAAGCTTTTTCTTTTTCTTTCTGTTTTTCTTTGGATTGCCGTGGCAGGTAGGTAGGTAGTGACTGTGAATTGAAAGAATTCGAAAGATGATGCCACGCATCATACTGGCGTGAAAGAAAAGAAAACAAACAAATTCCATCTTTCTTTTTGTTTGGGCCTCGCCCGTCTGTGTGACCGAGTGCAAAGTTTCAGGGTCCTTACTTCTTCCTTTCTGGACGAAGAGGCTCATCACACACAGGGAGGCTGTCGAATGTCGAAAAGTTTCGACAGGTGTGCCATCATAAATTTTTCGACAGTCCGGGGGCCAAGTCCCACTCACACTGATCCTTGATTTCTGGTCGTTGATCTTCGAAATCTGCGGTCGGAAATCAATCATTCGGGTAAGTGGGACTTGGGCCCGGCGGTCGACAATTCCCACCCCCNTTTTTTTTGGGGCAAGGTTTTTGGTCATGGCCAGGCGGACGGGTAAAAAAGATAAATAAATAAAAAAATAATTAAAATAATAAGAATAATAATAATAATAATAATAATAATAGTAATTAAAAAAAAAAAAAAAACGCCGCGGGCCACTGTCGAATTTCCGTCACTCGCTGGAGGGCGGCTGTCGAAAGGACCATTCTGATACCTGTAGAAAGTTTGTTTTTGAGCCAAAAAGAGAAAAGAAAAGAAAGTTTTTTGAGCCGCAATTCTTCGGAAGTCTGTGTGGCCATGCAAAATTGTCGAAAACCTGGTTTTCGACAGCCTGTTTTACACGGGGACCAAACAAACGCCTCAAAATGTTGAGACTTTTGGTCCCCGTGTGGTACCCCGAAGGCCGGAAGTTGCGCGCCGTTAACGGCAGCAGTGGCCCACGGCCGATTCATGCGGCAAGTACTGGTGGGTACGCAGTGTGAGCGTATGCAGTCAAACCAGAATTGCCGATGCACATAGCGCACACGTAGACAGAAGCACAGGGCTAGATTGCTGTACGTTATCACATCAGCAAAAGAAGAAGACGCGTGGTAAGAAGAAAACACGTCGAAACACGTCGAAAGAAGAAAACAAAACACGTCGATCACATCGCCCTGAGCTGCGGAGGAGAAGGTTTCTCTACTCCTCTCGTAACGACACGTGCTTGTTCCGCACCGCCGAACTTTTTTTTTTTTTTTTTTTTTTATTTAACTTAAGGGCCATGGTTCTCGATTTATACTTGTCATCCTAGCACAATTTTCCCGATTTCAACGCTTGAGGGGGCATGCTCACACTGCGACCCCAAATCCGCAAAATATGCGGATTATGCGGATTTGAGATTCGCCGATTTCAACGGTTATGGGCATGTTTTACGTCACACTGCCGTACCTTTTCGGATGGGACAAGGTCACAGGTCACGCGGCGCCATCCAGGAATTGTGCAAGAACTTTTGCCAACGAAATTTTGCCATGTTGTTAAGAAAATGCGAAAAAAACAGGTCAGGACCGCAGAATTCCTTTTCCTCGCTGACAAAATGGGCACACCAACAGTGGTACTTCGGCGAATCTGTGTGATCGGCCCGCTACCCTTTTTGGGGGGGGGTTGGGGATCATACGTCCCGTGTGTGAGAGTATGCCCTCAATGTGAGAATCGCAATTGATCTGCATTTCTGCATCTCTTCGTAGAACGCACCCTCAATCCATTCCTCTGCGCTTTGGGGACCTCGCCCAAAACAGAGATGAAACAAAGGTAATCTTGGGCACAGAATTTGTTTTCTTGGTTTGTGAGATCTCCTACAAAAAAAAGGAAAAGAGGACGGGAAAAAGTATTCCAGGCTTTTCTGAAAGGAAAAAAAACAAGAGAGAGAAAAAGAAAACACGAGAGCCTCAGGGATGGAGTAGGCTGAAAGCGGCAGAGTGAAGCGAAGCCTTGTCTCACTCACGACGACCCCATGACTGCCGCGAGCAAGTGTATAAAAGCGAACCGAGCTGCCTCGACTAGACATCGACTCCACTGTCTAGCTAGCTTACATCGCACACGCACTCGCAATCCGTGTTGGTTGATTGCACGGCGCACGCACACTGGTAGGAGAACTTCGATCGAGCGGAGCAGCGAGTAGTTGTGTTTTGCCGCTGCATTTGTGTCTTCAGAGGACCGCCTTTCTGTCACACGCACACGTAAGGAAAGCCCGCTCAGGAGGAGGGAGGTGGAAGCTGAAGGAGCGGACAATAGTGCGCTCAGGGGGAGGTGGAAGGTGAAGTAGCGGACGCTCAGGGGGAGGTGGGGTGAAGTAGCGGACGATGGCGCGCTCTGCATTTCTGTTGGCCTTGCTTCTCGTCGTTGTTGTGGTTCAGGCAAGTGCGCAGGCTCCGCCGGAGGTGACCATCAGCTATGTCAACTACGCAGGCTCGGGCTGCAATTATCAGAACACCAACTACGTCCTGTCCAACGACTACAAGACGGTCACCTTCATGTTCGGCGGGATGGTTGCGACCACGGACGGGTCGCTCGCCGACAAGAGGAAGCATTGCCAGATGTCTTTCAATATGATCTACCCGGATGGCTGGAGCGTCTCCATCGGTCAGGCCACGGGCCGCGGGTTCGCTGACATCGCCAAGGACTCCACCGGCATCTACGAGTCACACTACTACTTCTCGGGACAAACGGGTACGGCGACGATCGAGCGCAAAATCGGAGGCCCGCAGGTTGGCAGCTTCGAGTTCACGGACGACTTCCTGACGTTTGTGTGGAGTGAGTGCAACAACGCACCCAACTTGAACATCAAGACGGTGGTGAGAGTGGAGGGCGCGAAGGCTGTGATGGCGCTCGACTCCCAGGATACCAAGTTCCAGCTCATCTTCAACCTCCAATGGAGGCAGTGTCCGCAGAACTGAGAACCCCACCCACCCACCATCTCGCAGGCGGAGGATAGCGGGTGAGGAGGGTCGGAGATGTAGTCTGGCCGGTCAGTAGCTCGTTTTCGTATTCCGCCTGATC